CAGAAATTTTGAGTCAGGTGTAGATTAGAAGAAAGGACATATGATAGGTAGGATTTTAGTTGGGGGGGGTGGTAGAGGAGGAAGGGAGGGAGAAGGGAACAGGGATCATCATGTAATTCAATCTTGTTTGTAATTCAAATATATAAAAAATAAAAAAACTAAAAAACAAAACAAAACAAAACAAAACAAAAAACCTCTAACAGCCTTACATTGTTACTTTAGAAGCCACTAGTGTTGTAGTTAGGGAAATAACCCAGCATTAGGGGAAATGGCTGTTAACTGTGGTGTATCCTCTTGATGGCATACTTACTGTGCAGTACTGAGATATACTTTGTTCAGCAAAGGAACCATGTAATGTTTAAGGAGCTAGTACGTAACTACCACCTCTTGGAGCAGTTGTGGACTGCTTAGACCAGCCCAGCTGAGGAAGGGAGATCTCGTCATCCTCCCATCAGCTGTAAGTCCCTCACAAAACAGCTTCTACCTCCAAAAACAAATATATCACAACCATAAGCAGTGGCAGAGCGAAAACTGGCCCTCACTTGGTTCAGGTGGTCAGCGTACTAAGACTGTGTAATCTTTTACAAAAAAAAAAAAAAAAGTAGCCGGGCGTTGGTGGCGCACACCTTTAATCCCAGCACTTAGGAGGCAGAGGCAGGCGGATCTCTGTGAGTTCGAGACCAGCCTGGTCTACAAGAGCTAGTTCCAGTACAGCCTCCAAAGCCACAGAGAAACCCTGTCTCAAAAAACCAAAAAAAAAAAAAAAAAAAAAAATTAAAAAGCATGACAAAGTTTTAGAAAGTTGAGTACTAATTAACTGCATCAGATTTGTTGTTTGGAGTGGAGGGGGACAAGAGAAGGTAATGGTGCGTGCGATCAAAATATATTCTATACATATATGAGATATCACAGTGAAACCCATTGTGTGTAATTAATACCTAGTAACAAAAAAGTAGAACTTCAAATGATGACACTTGATTAGGAAGGGTTGCTCTCTGGGAGACTCTTTCTTTTACTCAATTTTCTTAACTGTGACATAATTTCCCCATTTGTTATGATGTACATACATGTTCTGTGTATACATATTTGAGAGATACCTTTCTAGATCTGTTTTTGTGCATTTACATATTTTTGTCCTTCCTCACCTTCGACACAATTGTTGTTTTGTTTTGTTTTTATTAAAACCATATAACTTAGAGGACAGGAGAAACCATAAACGCACTTCTCCAAAATTGTTTGCAAGATGGTCTCCCAGGAGTTTGAGTTCTTGAAGTTTTTTTCTTTCTTCCTCCTTCCTTCCTTTCTTTCTTTTTAAAGATTTTATTTATTTATTATGTAAACAGTCTTCTGCCTGCATGCCAGCAGAGGGTACCAGATCTCACTCAAGGTGATTGTGAGCCACCATGTGGTTGCCGGGAATTGAACTCAGGACCTCTGGAAGAGCAGTCAGTCCTCTTAACCGCTTAGCATCTTGTTCTTGAAGTTTCTGCTTAGGACTAGTGATAGCAGACCTTACTTATTGACTCAGCCCAAAGCTCTGGTGTAGAGAACAGGAATAAGGTAGTTGTGTGTTCTTACAGCCCTGAAACATGTATCTGATGACATGAAGACTCACAAGAACCCTGCCCTGAAAGCTCAGAGTGGTCCAGTTCGGAGTGGCCCCAAACCATTCTCTGCACCAAAACCCCAAACCAGCCCCTCCCCCAAGCCAGCCACAAAGAAGGAGCCACCTCTGTTAGAACTGGAAGGCAAGAAGTGGAGAGTGGTGAGTTAAAGGAACTTAGACTCTTGGGAAGGGGGAATAGAAACAATGCTTTACTTAGGATTTAGCTGAATAGTGCAGGGTTTGGTTTATGGTAGAGAACAGAGGTTTAGAGCGAGGCATTGTTTTTGTTGATGTGTGCTTTGTGGTAAGAACCCTGGGTTGTGTCTTCATAGGAAAACCAGGAGAATGTTTCCAACCTAGTGATTGATGACACTGAGCTGAAGCAGGTGGCTTACATATACAAGTGTGTCAACACAACATTGCAAATCAAGGGCAAAATTAACTCCATTACAGTAGGTGAGTCTTCCTTGCTGCCCTAGGAAGGTTCTGACCTAGAGCTTGAGAGGGCTAGAACCTTTTTCCACTTCTTTGTAAATTCTTGTCCTTTGCAGTTGCGCTGCTGACCTGCTTCCTTTCTTCTCCTAGATAACTGTAAGAAGCTTGGGCTGGTGTTTGATGACGTGGTGGGCATTGTGGAGATAATCAATAGTAGGGATGTCAAAGTTCAGGTAACTTGATATCTTGGCTCTTCCTTTTGGTCCCTGAGGAATCAATTGAGACACAGCAGACTCACAGATGTTCCTTGGGCAGGAATCTGATTCTCCAAAGTCTGTAAGCTGAGCTGGCTTTGATGTGGCAGAAGTTGGCTCTTTAAGGGTGCTCTCTCTAGGATCTTGCCCAGCCCACCCTTTTCTAATAGCTGTTGTGCACTGGGGGGCTTTGTGAAGTAGTGTAATCATTTAAAACAGTGAACATTCTCTCCACATTCTCTACCCTTACCTGCTGGAACTCAGTGGTCTTGGTTTTCTCTATAGGTGATGGGAAAAGTGCCAACCATTTCCATTAACAAAACAGATGGCTGCCATGCTTACCTGAGCAAGAACTCCCTGGACTGTGAGATTGTCAGTGCCAAATCTTCTGAGATGAACGTCCTCATTCCTACAGAAGGCGGGGATTTTGTAAGCAATCTCTCTCTCTCTCTCTCTCTCTCTCTCTCTCTCTCTCTCCCACACACACACACACACACACACACACACCCACACACACACACACACCACACACACACACACACACACACACACACACCCCAATTCCATGCTGGCCTGGAGCTCATTGGTGATATACCTGCCTCTGCCTCCCAAATGCTTGGATATAGCCATACAGCAACTGTTTTTATTTGCTGCTGAAGATTGAACTCAGGGCTTTGTTGCATGCTAGACAAGCACTCTATCAACTAAGTGATATCCCTGAGGAATATGACATTAAAAACAAGAACTAAGCTAATTGTGTTGGTATATATCTGTATTCCCTGCACTCAGGAGTTTAAGTTTGAGGCCAGCCTGGGTTATGTAGTAAGACCCTGTCTCTTAAAACATGGACCAAAGACTTCTTGAATTAGAGAAAACTGTTTGATAGACATTTGGCATTCTGTAGGTAAATCCCAGCAATGCACAAAGAAGCCAGGTAGTCCTGTGAAGGGGACCCAAGGGGAGGGTCATTCCTGCCCCTCTTAGCTCACTAAGAATCACAGTCGTGCCCCATCAAGCTGGTGTCTAGGGCTGTCTAAGCCTGTCAGGGTCATAGGTCACTAATGAGTGAGCATCACAGCATGGCTGGGCTGGTGTAGTTTGTCCCACTCCATCCTACACTGATCTCAAGGTTAAGTGGAATTACAATGTCAAACATTGACAGAAGTATGAAATAGAAATGGCCCCAGCTCATTTTATAGGTGGGGTTCCAATGTGTTACCCCCTAAGCTTGTTGTTTAAGATTTGTTGTATGTGTTTGAGTGTTTTGTCTGCATTATGCAGTTGTATCATAGGTGTGACTGGTGTGTAAGGTCAGAAGAGCATCAGATCACCTGGAACTGGTACAGATGTGAGCCACCCTGTGGGTGATGGGAAGCAAACCCAGGTCCTCTGCAAGAGCAGCCAGTGTTCTTAACTGCTGAGCCATCTCCTCCCCCATCAACTTGTTACCTCTTTTTTGCAGAACGAGTTTCCAGTCCCTGAGCAGTTCAAGACCTTGTGGAATGGGCAGAAGTTGGTCACCACAGTGACGGAAATTGCTGGATAAGCGAATGCCAGTGGGTCATGTGCCCTCTCCCTTCACAGCATGGGATACATCTGTATGGAGACGGTTCTTTTCTAGATTTCCTCTACCTTTCTGCTCTTAAACTGCTTCTCTGCTCTGAGAAGCCCAGCTACCTGCCTTCACTGAATATACCTCAGGCTGAGATTGGGGCGGGACAGCAGGTCAGTGGATCTTCGGCGGGAAGGTGCAGCTGCTCCGCACAGTGCAGCTGCACCACAGTTCGTGCTCAAGAGCTGCAGGCCCAGACTGGGGCACTGACGCTTTCGGCTTTGGGGGTCATTCTACCAACAAACAGTCCTTGGGGGGAAACGTCCTGGAAACACACAGATCAGAATGCATGCTAATCTCACAGCGAGCATGGAGGTAGCGGAGCCTGTGTGACTCCATAAGGCTCTAACCAACCTAAGTTTTCATTGTTGAGAAGTGAGGCCAGGGTTGTACTGGACCAAAGGCTAAGGCTTGCCACTCAGCATTCCAAGCAGACTTGTTTCCTAAAAGCATTCCTTCATTTTGCATTCCACCCTGGGTCAGCCTCAACCACAAAGTAGTAGGCTTTCCTCTCTCAGCTGCAGTAACAGTACCCTTTTGGAGAAAAAAAAAGTCTTGCTCCCCTTCCCCCATGACTACCTTGGTTCCCACGGGGACAACTTCAAAAAAAAAAAAAAAAAAAAAAAAAAAAAAAAAAAAAAAAAAAAAAAAAAAAAAAAAAAAAACCCCCTTAAAAAAAGAAAGAAAGAAAAGAAAAAAGAAAAAAAGCAACCACCGTTCCAGGGATTCTGGCGTTGTCTTCCCTGCCAGATGCCTGTCATCGCTCCACTCCTGCCTGCCGTGCTCCGAGCAGGACTAAGACCTCCACTGCAGGCTCTCCAGGTCTAGATTTACACACGAATCTTGCACAGCATTGCTATGGTACCCCAGCTCTCCCTCTAGGACACACTGACCAAAATATGCAACTTTTTGTTTTGTTTTTGGTGGGAAGAGAGATTGTCCTGTGACTTCTGCCCATTTCCTGAGGCCTGTGGAAATAAACCTTTATGTACTTAAAGTTATACAGAAAATAGAATAAAGTTAATACCAAACTTGTTCAGTTATTTACCTGATCTGTAATGAGATGTAAAAATACTGAAAATGACACCAAGGGTAAGAAACTACTTTTTATTTTAGACAGTCTTGTAAAGTTATTTTCACATCCTCCTGCTTCCTGCCCTTAATTTGAGGGGAAAAAGAAAAAAAGCTGGCAAGGGGTAGATTCTGCAGCACTAATAGGGTGCCTTCAAGAAAACAATCATTTCTCCAAACTAGACAGGAATCATTCAGAAAGCGCTGCTGTCTCAGCATGGGTGCTAAAGGGTCCATGCTCAAATAGCACAGGAAGTGGTGGGCCAGTGTTTGCCTTCAACCATCAGAGTCATCGTCATAATGTGGATTGGTCTCCAGAGGAAAAAGGAAGTCTATTATATTTTCCAATCATATTCTTGAATCAAATCAGCAGCAGCTTGGAGTGTGCTGGTAAGTAGGATTTGGGGTAGAAGTGTAAAAGTCCCATCTTTTCAGACCGTTCCTCCCATTTGCAATGATGTAAGTGACACTTAAGCCACTAGGAACATGAAGGGCCAAGAATGGAGTGGCAGGACAGTCACTACCTGGTTTTTTACTTCTACTCCACTTCCCTACTATCTCATGGTATAGAAGATACACATTGCTATAGGGTTTGGTGGCACATGCCTTTAATCCCAGCACTCAGAAGGCAGGGGGATCTCTGAGTTCAAGCCAGTCTGCTCTACATAGTGAGTTCCAGCCAGCTAGGGCTACAAAGTGAGTGAGATCTTGTCTCAAAAAAAAAAAGAAAAGAAAAAACAGTGCATTTCTTCTTTAAGCAACCCTGCTGGCTGTTTTCTCCTTTTGTGGCTGATTTTATTACTGAGGATACAAGTTGAGTTCTGTGAGAGCATGATGGTGGGCCTGTGGAGTGACTGTGGGTGTCACTAGATGGCAACACTTAATATGAAACCAGACTTAGGGAATGATGCAGAAACATCATGCAGGTGATGCTGTCCAAACACTGCCCGCAGCAGCAGTGCTGAGAAAGTGCTTGTGTGAGTGCCTCAGGGCTGGGTACCACCAGGCTTTTATTTGCTCCAAATTTGTGGGGTTTTGCCCTTAGTGCCTGTCTCCCTGCTTCATTTTCTTGTCTCCTCTGGGCACAATCATTGAACTGCAACAGCAGATTCCTTTCTCAAGAGGAAGCTTGACCATATCACAAGGTCGTAAAACAATCTCCATGGTTATTAGCTAATTAAATTTGAATTCAACACCATATGGTGATAGGAGGCAGCAAAGGATAAGATTCAGATCTTAGATCTTTCCAAGTAGGGCATGTTAGATAACAGGAGTGGAGAACTGCTTGCAAGCTAGATTAGAGTTGAGGGTTGGGCATGGAGAGCTGTTGATGTGTTTTTTTGGAAGAGCTGGGGTTTCCTGAGCTCTGCTGCAAAGTGCAAGGGCTTCATTTAAGAAAAGGTATGATGTAGGCATTAAACCATTCTTTAGACAGTTGAAGATGGTCCCCTTCCTTAGCCAGAAATACTAGCTTTCCTGCTTTGTCCATTTGCTTTAGCCCCAGGCGGTCCTGTAGAGAGAAAGGTCATAGTGAATTCAAGAGGCTTACTGGAAGGGTTATACTAAACAGTGTGTACAACATTCAGTCTCAAAATACTCTTTCCCCTCAGGGTTAAAATAGAGGTGTATTGTTGCAGGGGGGCCTCTTTTCATGCTTTTGTTTTGAGACAGTCTTGCTTTGTAGTCTGGCTGGCCTTGAACTCCTGCCTCAGCCTCCTGAGTGCTGGGATTTTAGCATGTGCCTGGCTCCTTCAGCTGCTTCTAAGCATTCAAAATACATGGGTAAGGCCAGCATAGTGGTTCACCCCCTTAATTCCACCATTCAGAAGCCAGAGCCAGAGCCAGAGGCAGGTGGATCTCTATGTGTTCAAGGTCAGCTGGGTTTGTAGAGAATTGCAGATCAGCCAGAACTACAGAGAGATGTTGTCTTAAAAAAAAAAAAAAAAGTGCAGCTGAGAGTGTTCTGGTTCTGCCCCACTCCCAACACTTGAAAGGTGCTAGACATAAACCCAGGACCTGCCCCTGAGCTGCACCCCAGTGCCTAGTGTCAGTTCTCTGACGAGAAGCTGGGCAAGCCACAGGCAAACCTGGCACGGAACACCATTGTGAAGTGGGGCTGAGCCAAAGACAGGAGAAAACTGGCCAAATGTATTTAAGATACAACATTTCCAATCCTTAGGATAATGAACTTGGGACCTGTTAGCATCTTGCAGTTAAAGTGTCCCCCCCACCCCCCAATAGCCAGGCTGTCTGCCTCTTGTTGGGAAGAGAAGCTCTAGTGGCAGGCAGAACAAGCCACTGCTACCCCAGGTTTGAATTTCACCATAAGGAAGATCATGGCCATAGTTTCCAAAGCTATCAGAAACTAGCTTCCCTTTCTTTCTACCCCACCCAAATTGGGTACCATATGTATGAGAAAAGCAGAGGAAAATAGGCCTCTGAAACTGTGGGAAAAGCTAGTAAAAGTTGGTTCAGGGGTGGTACTTGGACATTTGTGAGTCCATCTCTAAGCCATAACTGGATGTGGTGAAACACTGTAACCTCTGCTTGAGAAACAGGACCTGCTGTTAAACAGCATCCATAACAGCCCTGGTTCAGATCTTACAGTACAGTAGCATGACATCTCACCCATGTTTGCATTTACTTAGAGGCTTCTGGGATTTGTAGTAAACTCTGCAAAGGAAGCCAGCTCCAAACCTTTTCTTCAAAGTAAAACCTCAGAGATGGTGTCTCTTTTTGTGTTTAAAAACCACCAGCTGCAGTAAATTTCTATAAACCAGCACCTAGGAAGTTAGTGTGACAAGCAACAGCCCAGTAAGACCTAAGTCAAAGGGCTCACGAGTGCTCTGGGACAGACAAGACAGGGGTCTACCCTCAGGGGACCCAGCAGCTCCAGGAGGCAGGGCAACACAAACCTCCCAAGGCCGATTTCTCCCCATTACCTCTGTGTATAGAGTGCTCTCCTGGAGGGGAATGGTTTCCTTAGCTTGGCCACTTCTGTAAAATCCAAACCACTGCAGGAGAGAAGGAAAAAAAATGGTCAGATTATCCATCCACCCAGCACACTTTCAAAATCATTTGACACTGGCTAGTACCTAAAACTACCAGCAAAATGAACACTTTAATATTTGTAACATAGCAAGCAAGAAGTAAGAATGGTGATCTGGAACTTACTCGGGTAGTAAGTTGGTCTGGATCTTGCAAGCCTCTGTCTGAGCCTCCTGAATGCTACAACTATAGGCATGTGCCATAATACGTGACATAAAGGTGTATCTTGAGTCATCTCATGTTAAAGGTCAATCCTGAGAGATGAACTAATAATCTTCAGTTTTCCCTTTCCCCATAACTTGTGCTTCCTTCCCTGACTGCAAATGAAAGCCCCTGAGCTGCCCTAGTCATTCACGGATAAATATATAAGCCCTTTTCCCAAGAAGCTGCCAGTCTAGCAGGCACAGAACCAATTCATTGTTTAGACGTGGGTCAGCAGACTTCTATAAAGGCCAGATACAGAATCATGTCGTGGTGGCTACTCACCGTTGTGACACAAAGGGAGCAAGCGAGCGTGAGAAATGAGCAAGGATTTTCTAATGAAATGCATTTGGAAATGTGGTTTTCATACCATAAAATATTTTGATTTTTTTCTCAAAATATGTATAAAGATTCTGAACTTAGAGGCCACTCAAAAATATGGTGAGATTTGTGATCTGACACTGAGCAGAGCTTCAGCTGAGGCTGGTGGCTTCAAAAGCAGAAGCAGCTGGTGGTTCCTCACATCTGTCATCCCAGCGGATCACTTCAAGTTCAAGGCCAGCTGGAGCTACAGACTGAGGACACCACTACAAGGAGGGAGCCAAATTCTGGTGGTAGAGGTGGTGTCCTAGAGGAAGTGGCATTGTATTTGGCCTTAACAGGAGTTTGTCAGGGGGAGAAGCCAGGGGAAAGCATTCAGAAGACTAAGGCATGGGAGAGAAGCCTACGAACAGACTTGGGGCATTTCAAATACCAAAATATGGGTGATGACGCTGGAAAAATCGAGCCTTCTGAATCAAGGCAGACCTGGATATCAAGCTTAGGGTTTATAAAAAATGGGCTAGTGATTCTGAACCTCTTTTGAGAAAGGGAACCTGAGATTAAAACTATAGAGTGTAACCACATAGTTTGCATAAAATTCTGGGTTTGACTAAAGGATTGCAGGTGATGTTTTCCCAGGTGAAGAGTTGGTGGTGAGGACAGGTTTGTCCAGGAAGCAGCTGCCGGCGGTATTGTTAACTTCCTACAGTCTCTTGGCACAGTGGCCTTGGGTCTCACCTCAGAGTCTACAGGATCCACAATGGAATCGTTAAGGAATTTCACCATCACAAACTTGTTGAGGGCCATCAGGTTCTTCTTGTAGGTCTCATTGACACACTGGAAGAAGAACGGACGGTATTGTAGGGTTGCTATTGTCACCTTCTGGCAGGGACTGAAAGATGAGCCTTGATGACTGACATGTCACCAACCATGGGCTGGATTCTACCATGAGTTCTGTTCACATACTCTATATATACATTATCTACTTAGGTCGCAGGCCCCAAACCAAGGCAAAACAAACATAATTCTGGGTTGTTCTCTTATCTGGTTCAGCACTGTTTCCTGACTTTTGTGTTTGTTTATTGTCCCCTTCACCTTTTTTTGCTTCAAACAGCAGATACCCTCTACTCAGCTATCATATAAAATGAACCATTAAATTGACCAGAATGTCCCAAACCATGCTCATGCCTGGGCACAGTCCATGCCCTTCCTAGAGTCTCTTAAGTAAGTCTCATCTGTGACCATCTGATGGGCCCCACCAGGAAGATGTCCTTTGTGAAGACAGAAGCTATGAATTCCCACTTTGCCCAGCAGGCCACCTAATGTAACTTCATCCTGCTGTTTCAACATGAAGGAAGCCGGAGGGCTTCAGGGAGGAGGAGGGCCAGTGAGTCCCTGCCCAGCTGCCCTAAAAGGAACTGAAACTCATGAGTACTGCCTCTCACATACAAACCCCTTGGTTCCTGGCTTCTGCCCAGGTATTTTCCCTAAATGGTCACTGCTCACTTCTTTCTGATGGTCAGAAAGGAATGCCTAACCATGGGAGCATGTTTTGGTGCTTACCCTCTCTTGATTTATATCTGCCAGGAAGATGCTGTGGTTTCGGTACACATCTTCCTTGATGGGGTCATGCCAGTACTGTGCCTGCACCAGGCTGAGGAAGAGAAGGAATGAAGGTGCCTCTCAGTCGGCATGCCTGCACATGCCTAGATAACCAAGGGATGTCAAAAGGATGAAAGACCAAAGCCCCCAAGTCCTAGGCCTTGCCTTCAATTAGGGATGACTTCGTAGACCTGTCAACAAGACATCTTACTGAGAGGGGGACAGGCCATTTGGCAGACACAGAAAGTTCAAATATTTGGAGACTTCGTGTCTCTGCCTCCCAAGTGCTGGAATTAAAGACATGCGCCACCACTGCCCAGCCCTTGGCTTCCTTCTAATTCCAGTGGCCCAGGCTGTCCCTCCTCACAGCCCCACCTCCCTCACTTTCCTTGACTTCCTACTCATCCACAGGATCCAATAGTCTTTGCCTCTTTGTTCCCATTATCCAGCTGAGAAAGATGAGGAGCAGCACTTTGGAGGCTGAGGCAGGTGGATCTCAGTGAGTTCGAGGCCAGCCTAGTCTACAGAGTGAGTTCTAGGACAGCCAGGACTTTCAAGAGAAACCATCTTGAAAAACAAAAACAAAAACCAACTAGCCAAAAAAACAAAACAAAACAAAAACAAAACAAAAAAAGGAAGCCAAGTATTGATAAATCTCTGTCAAGAACCAAATCTTTGGAATTTGGCACTTGATAGACAGAATCTCCACTAAATAGCTTATGCTCTGCTTTTTTAACCTTGAAAATGACTCTCCAGGAAGGCATGTTACTAACCTCATATCAGAGGTTCAAAGTGCCCAGGGCCACACAGCTAGCTGATGACAGAATGAGGGCTCTCCAGTGACCCCTGGGAGAACAATGGGAGGCCATCTCCTTTCCCTTTATTTTACTTCATTTCCCCTCATACTGGGTTGCTCCTTGGTACAGGCATACAGGACTCAAGGTCATCGGACAAAGCTCTGCACCGTTGCCCTCTGGGTAGCATCGGTGCTGTAGCAGAGTATGCTGCCACAGGATTTGAACTTTTAGCTGCATCCTAGTTGGGATCTATTCTCCATGCCTGGTGCTGTGAAATTTCACAGGAATGTACTGCAGTATGGCTTTGTCTGTTTTTCTTGTGTTCTTGCTTGGGTGTTTAGCAATCCCTTTCAGTCTGGAAGCTCATGCATGGTAACGGCTTGGACATCTTGTATTACTTCTTTAATTCCAATTCACCCTTCCTCTACTTGGAAAGTCCCATGAGTCACATCAGACATCCCTCTGTTCTCCTTTCTACCTCTGTCTTACTCACTGTTCTGCTGCTGTGAGGAGGCACCAAGACCAAGGCAATCTTACAAATGAAAGCATTTACTTCAGAGGGTTAGTCCATTATCGTCCACGGGCAGAGCTTAGATAGGAGCTGATGAACTGGTGGCAGTGACTTCTCTTAGTCATTTCCTCCAGAGACAGACCCTACAAACTGCCTCGTACATAGCAAGGTTAGCTCTAAGTCTGGGTCTTCCAGACATTGCAGGGAGTAGATTTTGCTTCTCCTGCCATGGTAGGGGAAAAGCAGCCCCCTGGATATTCATGTCAGGGAACTCGGGAGAGACTGCTCCTGCCTCAGGTTTTCAATGAAAACGTCCTAGTTTTGGCCCCACACACTTACTAAAACCTCCCAAAGTACTATACACCCCCGGTTCCCAAGCCTTCTTGGGGCTCTAGAGCATGGGTCCCTGCAGTGTGTCTTCCACAGGGGGAAACACTTCAACCTTTCTACTATACTACAGCAGTTCTTACATCCTTCTGTTTGCTCTTTCAGAAACATGTATTGTCTCTTATTTCCTCTCGTCTTCTCCTTACCCCAGTGAATTTTATCCCTTTTAATAAAAGTCTTATTATCTATCTGTCTGTCTATCTATCTATCCATCCACCTACCTGTCTATTTATTTATTTAAGACAAAGCCTTACTATGTCATCTTGACTGGCCTGGAACTGACTTTGAAGACCAGGCTGGACTCAAACTCACAGAGGTCTGCCTGCCTCTGCCCACTGAGTGCTGGGTTTAAGGTGTGCACTACCACATCAGGCCTCATATGTTTGAAGGACAATTTTTAAAAAAATATTATTTATATTTTTATGTATATGGGTGTTTTACCTGCATGTATGTCTGTGCACCACAGGCAGGCAGTGCACCCACAGGCCATAAGAGGGCATAAGATCCTCTGAGATTACAGTTATAAACAGCTGTGATATCATTAGCAACTACTCCTAGAATCACTGAGCATGAATGTCAGCAAGTTGCTTCCACAGTCTGGACCAGATAGCTAGCCACACTCACCGTAGTTGAACAACTTTGGAGTAAGCACCAGCATTAATCATTTTCCTGATGAAGTCACAGACATGTGAGCTCTCTCCTGGGCATCGAGGGAGGCCAAAGACTCCTATGTAGGTAAAAGATAACCATGCATTACTCCAATAATCATATACTGGTTACCCACTGTACCAGGCACTGTGAAAAAAACAAACAAAATGACAAAGAGCTTCTTGCATCTGAAATCATTCATTTACTTGAAAAAAAAAAAAAAGCCCAAGGACTGTGAACTAACAATGCCACCAACTTCCTCCTGGCACTCCCCCAGGGACCTTTGCCTCAGCCCCGCCCACATGTGGCTGCTACACTCAGTGCATGACTGCCTCATCCGCTTTCTTGGGAAATTATCTGGCTCCCTGTCCCCATTCCCTTCCCATGTCATACTTTCATCCATGCAACCCCCTCCTTTAAATCCTGTGTAAATTACTTGAGACACTTAGTAAGTATAAATGCTCTGTGGACTGTCATTACACTGCATTGTTTGGGGAATGAGAAAAGTCTGTACATGTTCAGTTTCCTCCACCCTCCCTCCCCACCCGTCCCCCTCTTTAATGAAGACAGGTAGGGTCTACTATAGGCCAGGTTGAACTCAAGCTCTCTGAGGCTGATCTTCCTGCCCCCACTCCCTAAATGCTGTGATTCGAGGCACACACAACCACCATGGCCTTCCCCAGGAGAGGATCCCCAGATCTCATCTATGGATCTTTGAATCCACAGGTATGGAACTCATGGATTCAGAAGACCAAATGTGTGCTGGAGTACAGCCCTGTGGTAGAGTTCTTGCCTTATAAGTGGAGACCCTGGGTTTTATCCCAAGCAACACACAGACAGGCAGACAGGCAGGCAGACAGACAGACAGACACACACACACAGCGTGAGCGCACACACACCTAGATCTAGGCCATCACTGCATGCCCAGGTCTTGCTCTGGATATGGGACTTTAGCACCTGCTTTTCCTGGTAAGCCCTCATCATAAGAGCTTCTTTCTGCAGCAAATGGAGATTTCTACAGAAACCCACAACTGGTCAAATGCAGAGAACAACTGATCGTGAGGTGGCCAATGGCAACTGATAACATCTACAACCCTACACACCCAGGGCCCAGAAGTCCAGCATGGCTGCTGTTGAGATACTGTCATTCTATATATGACAGGGATGCTTCACCCATGAAATCTCAGCAATATGGTCACCTAAACAAGACCTGCATAAAGACAACATCAGTTGACATGCCAGTGCAGGTGGGGGAAATCACACAGGGCCCCACCCCTAGATGAAGAACTACAAGCAATTGATGATGGCGGAGAGTAGGAGAACCAGTCTTTAGGGATGACTGGTAAGTTATCCAGTCCCAAGTGGGCATAAACATATGAGCAATAGTAAATGGACTTAGCAGCTTACACACACACACACACACACACACACACACACACACACACACACACGTATGAGCCGGGTGTGGTGGCACATACCTATGATATCAGTACCCAGGTGGCTGAAACAGAATTTCCATGAGTTTGAGGGCAGCCTAGGCTACCAAACAAGACCTTATCTAAAAAGGTGGTGAAAAAGGAGGGGGGGGGGAGATAAAAAGAAAGACACACAGACAGGAAGGAAGGAAAATATAAAAGGAAAAGCAAACAAAAAAAAAGAAAAAAGAAATACAAAACATCAGATAGACATGGGTTGGAAAAGAGGGAGAGAACCATGGGGATAAGGGGATGAACATTACCTTGATGCTGTCCCCCAACTGAGATCAGGTTGATCATTCGAGGTGATGGGCATCTCTGGGCCACTGCCCTCCTATAGAAATCAAAGGTGGCTGTCAGCTCTGAAGGTCAGATTGGAATGTATCAACAGTCACTTCACAGATTAAGTTATTTAATACACATGGGTCCTCAAGCCACAGAGTTACAGGAACTTCCTCCTGGCTGAATACAAATCTTATTTCATAGAAAACAAATCAAGAGGAGCTGGGAAGATGGCTCAGTCATTGGTGCCATAAGGACCTGAGTCTGGATTGCAACATCCCCCTTAAAAAAGAAAGGAAAAGAAGCTGGGCAGGGGTGATGCCTTTCATCTCAGCACTTGGGAGGCAAGGCAGGTGGATCTCTGTGAGTTTGAGGCCAGCCTGGTCTACAGAGTGAGTTCTAGTACAGCCAAGGCTACACAGAGAAACCCCGTCTTGAAAAACAAAAACAAAGACAAAAAAAAAATAAGAAGAAGAAGAAAAAAGAAAAGAAAAAGCCTGGCACAGCAGTTCTGGTAATATCAGCACTGGGGAGGTAGAGACAGAGAGTCCCTGGGGTTTGTCAATCAGCCAGTGAGTTCTGGGTTCACAGAGAGACCTTTTTCTCAACAACAACAACATTGTTCAGTGAGATGGATTAAACACTCACTGCCAAGCCTGATGACTGGAATTGGTTCCTGGGCACCCCATGCTAGAAGGGAGAACCTGATTCCTCAAAGCTGTCTGTCTTCTGACTTATACACATACATGCATGGGTGCATACACACCACACACACACACACACACACACACACACACACACACAGTAAATATTTTTTAAACATTTTTAAGTTAAAATAGAGTACTGGAGAGGTGGCTCAGTGGTGAAGTGTTCTGGTGTTCTTGTGGCTCATACATTTGGCCTCTACACACATGCTCACACATGTGCATACACAGAGAAAGAAAAGAAATTGAGTTCCACAAAGCTTCTTACACAGTGACATTTTCAGACTAATGTCCTCTCTGTGAGAGGGGAGGACCCCCACACAATTACAGTCAATTGATCTAAATAGAAGAAACATTAATTCCATGTGAATAGTACCATGGCACAGGAAGGTACTTACAGAAACTGGCCTCCCTGGGAGAAGCCAATAGCGTTGTACCCCTGCTGCAACTTAGGATCCTTTTCCAGAATCTGACACACCATCATTACTTGAGAATTGACATTCAAGAAGAAACTGTTTTCCACATCCTAGAAAAGGAGCAGTAAGAGTGAAAGGAAGGAACTGCATGTAAATAGCATCTTCTCTCAGGCAGGGGCTGACATAGGCCAATACCCTCATATATAGCCTCTAGAGTTCAAGTGTTAGTACAGTATGATGGAACAACCCTGTAGTCCAAGCACTTGTGAGGATGAGGCAGGAAGATCAAGTTCCAGGCCAGCCTGGGATATATAGCAAAATCCTCCATCCCAAAACAAAATGAAGCAAAACTAGTGGGGCTATGACTTGCTGCTAAAAATAAATGCAAGGTGAAGTGTTTGAATAGCACACTTGGTCAAACCCGATAGCATCTTTCAGGGAACAAGGTGCCATCTTACCTCCATCATGTTCTTTCCAATCTCTAGCGACAGGACGTAAATTCCAGGTATTTCCTTTTCAACCATCTTTTTAATGGCACCCATGCTTATGGGGTTACAGCAGCTGTCTCCTAACCAAGGAAAACAATGATGCAAATTCATGAATCAAAACATTATTTAAGAAACAAAAACCTTTTATGTCTCAAAGGGTGATAATCAAGAATGCCAAAGGGCAGTGTACAGAATGGAGAGAACCTGGAAACAATGATCTACTTACTGCAGGGCTTCTCCAGCTTTCCCCATACAGCACCCTGCTCAACTTAGAAATGCCCACAGCACCTTGGCTATGTGAGTGTATAAAGTATGTATACAAATCAAGTATTTACTGATAATAAGTCATAAATGTAAACAGACATTCCTCTCCAGCCCGCCAGTTACCAAATAACCACTCAGAGGCTTATATTAATTACAAAGGCTCGGCAGACAGCTCAGGCTTATTACTAACTAGCTCTTACATTTTAAGTTAATCTGTATTCCTCATTTACCCTCTGCCACGTGTTGGCACCCTTATTAACATGACATTTTCATCTCCTGCTCCCTCTGTGTCTGCTGGCAACTCCTCCGGCTCCGCCCTTCTTCCTCCCAGAATTCTCTGTGTCAAGCTGTCTCACCCAATTGCTTCCTGCCCAGCTATTGGCCAATCAGCTTTGTTATTAACAATGAGAGCAATGCACATTTACAGTATGCAAAGATTGTAGCATAGCATATAAAGAAGTTTATTTTAAGGTAATTCTTTGGCATATATAAAATTTACTATTTATAAAGGGTGAAATTAATTTTACAAAATGATAAAATAGATGTACTTGTTTATATTTCCATAAAGAATTACATTTTAATCTAGGCATAGTGGGTTACCCTCTAAACCTAGCACTCAGGAGGCAAAAAAGTCAGATCTCTGTAAATTTGAGGCCAGGCTGGTCTACATGCTAAGTTCTTGTCTAGCCAGAGCTACATAGTGAGACCCTACCTTTAAAATTAAAAAGAACCAAGGGCCTCCAGGTGGTTGATGGTGGTGCATGCATCTAATCCCAGAACTTTGAGGGCAGAGGCAGGCAGATCTCAGAGTTTGAGGCTAGCCTGGTCTAAAAAGCAAGTTCCAGGACAGCGGACTACACAGAGAGACTCTGTCTTAAACAAAAAAGAATTGAGTTCTGCCTGAATAGTTAATAATGCAAGACATAGAACATCCTTGGTGTTTTTCATAGTTAATCAATAGTTTGATTTTATAATTATTAATACTGAAACATTGCTCACATAAATATATAGTACAAATATCAGAAGTATGCTTGTTTCAGAAACTGTTGGAAGTTCTGTCCTAATCCCAAAACAAAATTCACTTACTGACTTTTCTGTTTTTGTTTTTAGATGAAACTCGTCAGCAACTCAAACAGCAATTTTAAAGATTTCATTTATTTTTAACTGATGTCTATGAGTGTTTGCATGTATGTATGTGCACCGTGTATATGCCTGATGCCTGTGGAGGCCAGAAGAGGGTGTCAGAGCTCCTGAAAGTGGAATTGCAGGCAATTGTAAGCTACCAAGGGAGAGCTGGGAACCAAACTGGAGTTGGCTGAAGAGCAGAAGTTCTCTTAACCATTAAGCCATCTCTCCAGACCTGTTAAACAGCAATTTTAAAATTAATCATTGAAACACAATATGATAGAAAGATAAACTGATTTGGTACTTAAATGCTGAAGACAATACTAAGTCTTTGTTTCTGGCAACAAAACCACTATAAGAGCATAAGACGTTATATGTACAGTAAGAGCACTGGGGTTCATAACACACAGCAGCCTGGAGACTGAGCAGTGTCTGACGCTGTATTTTGTAGGTGTTCCTGGCAGGACAACATGCACAGTACAAAGTACATGTTTTTCTGTGTTCAGAATCAAGGCCCCAGTGGAGTGGGAGATGCAAACACTGCCAGAAACAACTTGATTCATTTCACCCTTGATTTTAAAGGAATGTTTGCTCATTGAGCGTTCAGAATACTGTTGCCATGTTTTTCAAGATCCCCCTACTTAGTTACATAATCTCTTATGGAGTTCTGATCCACAATGTAAGAAGCTAGAAGCCAAAAGTTGACCTGTCAGACTCCAGGAGGAGAGAAGATATTTGTGGAAGATGTATCTGAGTTCAGTATCCAGATGCACAAAATAATTCTTACCTTTCGACAAGGCACATAATATAATTATGAAATGGGGGCAGACTGGAGAGAGGGTTCAACCATTGAGACTGCTTGCTGCTTGTGGTGGGTTGGATAAGAAAGGCCCCAGAAGACTCATATATTTGATTGTTTAGTCAAAGTGTAGGATTAGGATTAGGAGGTGTGACCTTGTTGGAGGTAGTGTGTCATTGGAGGTGGACTCTGAGGTTTTAAAAGTTTATGCCAGGCACACTCAGTCAGTCTCCCCCCCCCCAACACCCCCGCCTCTCTGCTTATAGATCAGGATGTAGCAGCTCTCCGCTACTGCTCCAGCGCCATGCATGCCACCTAGTTTCCCACCACGATGACAATAGACTAAACCTCTGAAACTGTAAGCAAGCCCCAATTAAATGCTTTCTTTTGTAAGAGTTGCCTTGGTCATGCTGTCTTTTCACAATATAACAGTGACCAAGACATTGTTCTTTCAGAGGATCTGAGTTTGGTTCTCAGCACTCCCACATATTCATAAAAATAAAAACAAATATTTTTAAAACAAAAGAAATGGAGAGGCTAGAGAGAAGGAAATGCAGTTAAGAGCACTTCCAGAGTTTCTGAACCAGTTCTGTTCTGGTTCTGAATTCAGTTGGCCATCCTACAACCAACTCTAACTCCGGGGTTCCAATGATGTCCTCTTCTGGTCTCCATGGGCACACATACATATATGTTATTCAACACATACATACTTTTTTTGTAAAGTCATAAATGATGGGGGATGTCCTTCTATATATATGTTTCTCTTATTGGTTGATGAATAAAACACCGATTGGCCAGCAACCAGGCAGGAAGTACAGGCGGGGCTACCAGACGAGAAGAATTCTGGGGAGAGGATACAGAGAGGAGCCACCGAGATGCCATGTAGCTACTGGGAAGGTAGGATACCCGGGCATTCTCCGATAAGATAAGGCCATGTAGCAATACATAGATTAATAGTTATGGGTTAATAATTAACAGTGAGCTAGCCAGTAAGAAGCCTAAGCCATTGTCCAAACAGTTTATGATCAATACAAACCTCTGTGTGTTTATTTGGGACTCAATGGCTGTGGGGCCAGCAGGAGCAGAAACTCTGTCAACACATAAACATAAATTGGGAAAGGATGCAAAGACATTTCTCCAAGAAGATAGGGATTAGCCAGCAGCATCACTGTTAACGAAATGCAGTTAAAACAGTGAAGTGTCAACTCATACCTACAAAAGTAACTTTTATTGTTGAGGCAGGGTATTACTGAATAATACTGGCTGGCCTACAACTCCCCATACAGCTCAAGTTCACCTTAAACTCAGAGATATCTGTCTACCTCTGCCTCTCCAGTGCTGGAATTAAAAGTGCACCACACCTGGTAAAAAATAACATTTTTTTTTTTGTTTTGTTGTTTTGTTTTTTTTTCAAGACAGGGTTTCCCTGTGGCTTTGGAGGCTGTCCTGAACTCGATCTTGTAGACCAGGCTGGTCTTGAACTCACAGAGATCCACCTGCCTCTGCCTTCCGAGTGCTGGGATTAAAGGTGTGTGCCACCACTGCCCAGGTGGAAAAAAAAACATTTTTAAAATTAGAAAATAAGTGTCAGCAAGGACATGAGTAAACAGGTACCCTTGCACCCTGTTGGTGGAACTACACTGATGTAATCTCTGTTAGAAAGTATGGCAATGACTAAAAAACTAAAAATAAAAAGTTAAGCACATAATTATAAAATGACCCAGCAATGACTCCTACTTTTATACCCAAGAAAAATGAAAACACACATCCAGATAAAACCTTTCACAAATGTTTACAGTAGTACTGTGGTAATAGCAAAATGTAGAAACAGGTCAAATGTCCATTATTAAATGAATAACCTGTGTTATAGTCACACAATGGAATACTATTTATCCATGAATAGGAATGAAGTACTGAAGCATGCTACAACTTGGATGAACCTCAAAGTATGTTTCGTAAAATAACCCACACAAAAGACAAATTGTCCAATCATTCACCTGTTCTGTCCAGAAAAGAAACCCCACAGCACAGAGAATAGATGTTATCAGGAGTGAGAGGAGGGGAAGGGAACAAGGACTTAATCCACATGGAGGTTTTCCTGGGTGCTGACAGTTCTGAAACTAGAGGGAAGTTGTGGTGCCTCAGCTGGGGAACAGGCTCAGTGACAATGAATTGTACACTGAAAACATGAATTTCCCCTCAGCAGGAACAAATAAAAGAACACTTATAGCATAGCTCTATCTTTCAGGTGCTAACAAGCTGCAGAGGCCATGTGGAGCTGGAGCCCTGCTGATAGAGTGCTTGCCCAGCACGCACCAGGCCCTGGGTAGGACCCCAGGACTATATAAGCTGGGTAAGGGGAGCACACATACGGTCCCAGCATTTGGAAGGCAGAGGGAGGAGGATTAGAAGATCAAGGTCCTCTTTGGCTTCTTAGGGAAGTTTGAAGCTAGAATGAGTAGCATGAGTCCCTCCCTGTCTTAAAGAAAAAAAAAAAATCAAAAGCCAGTTGTGGCGCCACACATCTGTAACCCCAGGGACCAGGATGAAGGTCCATGAAATGTCCGAGGCACAAAATTTAATGAAACAGTCTCTGTGAGCTTTTGTTGTGGAATAATCTTTTTGTACATTGTGAAGATGTGTCTTTGCCAAAAGATACAGAAAGGAATGAGGAGGTACAAGATGAAAGAGAAGTTACAAAGTCACCAGGCAAAACATAGATTAATATAAATGGGTTCATTTAAGTTATAAGAGCTAATGGGACAAGTCTAAGCTGTAGGCTGAGCTTTCATAATTATTAATAAGTCCTCGGTGTCCTTTTTTTGTGAGCTGATAGCCCAAAGGAAAATCCGTCTGCAAGGTTTGGGAAAAGGTTGACTTCCAACTTGTATAAATTGGGGGCGAGAGCCTCAGTGCTTCAACCTAGCTCCAGGATTGTTTCCTTTCCCACAAAGAATCAGACTTAAGAACAGGAAGCAAACTGGCCACCGAATAGAGATGTGTCCGATTTGCACTTAAATCACAGCACTTCAGTTGGACAGGAAGTTTAAAGAGAAAACACTCTGCCCCAGAGAAGCTTCTATTTCTTTCATAACAACATCCACCATGCTGTAATGAGTAAGGGCAAAAAGGGGCCTTGGCTACATAACTAGTTCATTGATACAAAAGATACTGTCTTGAAAATATTAAACGAGCCCAGCCTATTTGCAAATGCTTGTAGTCCTAGCTTGTGAGAAGGGCACTACGGGTAAGTTCAGAGGTTCAAAGTCATTCTTGGCTAGACAACAGATACAAATTCTGAGCTAGCTTGTGCTACATGAAATCTTGTCTCAGTCCAAAACTAGGTCTGGACATACATCTTTTGGGTAAAGATGCCTGCTGCCAAGGCTGCCAAGGGGAGTTTGAGTCCTGGGACTCACATGGTATAAGAAAGAACTGACTGCTGTGAATTGTCCTCTGACCTCCACATGTATGCAGTGGTATAGGTGGTACCCCCGCCCCAATGATTAAAAATACTTTAATAAAAAAGGCTCCCAAATTAAACTAGGCAACACACCAAAGCAATAACAACATACCCTTCAAATTCCTAAGCTCAAATGCATAATCTTTTTCTTTTGTTTTCTTTTTGAGACAGGGTCTGGCTATGTACCTCAGCTGACCTGGAGCTATGACCCTACTCTTTCAATTTCCTGAAGGCTCCAAGTACCATTGTGTTACTTTGTTGGGTTTAAAAGAATTCTGACACACACACCCCAAGTGTGCTCCCCTCCAAGCTACCCCATCTTTTGAAATGTTCAAGCCAAAAATCAGTGGTGTCATCTCTGTCCCCTCCCTCTCTCACACCATGCCTAAATCCCCAGATGCCAGCCTCAAGTGTATCAAAGTTCCACCATTTCACTTCCTGTTACCACACATCCCTCACTATACAGCTCTGAGCTGCAGGCATCTCTAGGGTTTAAGGTACTGCAGTGTCCCCCTGCAGCTCTCTGTGACACCTACAATCTATTCTCAGCATAGCAACTAAAACAGAGATAAGGACAAGGTAGGACAAGACAGACAGGCTGTCATTCCTTTAAACCATAAAATCTGATCCCATAGAGACTTTCTCCTCCCTCTCTACAGTCCACGGAATGTGCCTGGCCCTGATTCCTCCTCACCTAATCACAGGAGGAAAAGAACAACTGACTATCTACAGGATAAAGCCAGGGGGTCTCCAGGACAAACAGGTCACTGAGCTGAATCTTACACAGGGACTCTCCTTATGAGGAGTCTTCAAGAAAGCCAGTCTTCACAGCTAATAAATCCAAATCCCCAAAGACCCTGAGAATCTCTGTTGTTCTCTCTGTGGACAAGCTGTCTGAATTCCCTGTGGCCACAGCTGACTGTTCCTCTGTCCCTTCCTTTCTAGTGACAGCTTCTCCCCAGAGCTCGGAACCACAGCTCTTGTGTCAGTAACCACTAGGAGGGTCTGCATGACCATCTAGTGTCACCAATAGAGTTATCCTTTCATTTGATTTTTTAATTTATTTTTTATTAGTTCAAATTAGAAACAAGCTTGCCTCATGTCAATCCCTTCTCCCTCCCCTAACCTCCCATCAGCCTCCCACCTCATCCCCCTCTGCTCCTCAGGGAGGGTAAGGCCCTTCATGGGGGTTCCCCAAAGTCTGTCATATCATCCTGGGCAGGGCCTAGGCTCTCCCCTATGTGTCCAGGCTGAGAGATCATCCCTCCACGTGGGATGGGCTCTCAAAGTCCCTTCTTACACCAGGGATAAATACTGATCCACTACTAGGGGCCCCATAGAGTGCCGAGGCCTCCTCATCGACATCCATGTTCAGGGGTCTGGATCAGTCCCATGCTGGCCTCCCAGACAACAGTCTGGGGTCCATGTGTTCCCCCTTGTTCAGGCCAGCTGTTTCTGTGGGTTTCACCAGCCTGGTCCCAACCCCTTTGATCTTCATTCCTCCCTTTCTGCAACTGGGTTCCAGAGTTCAGTTCAGTGTATAGCTTTGGGTGTCTGCCTCTGCTTCCATCACCCACTGGATGAGGGCTCTTGATTTTTAACTTTAGCTAAATATGTATTATTATTTATGGGTCTCCCCATATAGCTCTGGCTGACCTGGAACTTGTCATATAGGGCAAGCCTCAAATTTGCAGAAACCCTCCTGCCTCTGCCTCCTGAGTGCTGTCAGTTACAGGCTCCCACTACACTGCATTTGAACAATCTTTTAAATATGGAAGTCAGGGGGCTGGAGAGATGGCTCAGTGGTTTGTTCTTGCAGGGTACGTTCCCAGTACTAGAAAGGCGACTCACATTCCTCTTCTCTTCCAGTGCTCCCTCTCTCTTGGTGCACTGGTCTGGACATCACATGCTCAGCCCAGGGCCTTTGCCTCTGCTGTTCCTTTGATCACACATCCATATGGCATCTTCCCTCATCCCCTTCAGACCTGCTCAGTTGTCACTCTCCGGGAGAATCCTCTCCTAACATTGCTCTCTACAAGCTCACACTCACATCTCCAGCTCCATCTCCTTCCAGGCTCTCTGTCTGTCTCCACTGCACTCATCACCATTGGATACTTTCCCTTATTTCTTTATAGTATGTTCCAGAAGGGAAGAGAATTTAGTCGGTGTCATGCTCAGGTGTGGTCGTGCTGTGTGGTAACTGTATAAAGGACGTGCAGGTAACTGCCAGATCTCTATTCAGTGTGTGAAGGAATGAAAGCATGAGTGCGCCGCCCGGCTCTGCAGGGACCGATGGCCTGGCTGTCACATGCTGCTGGCTGATGCCATAGCTGCTAGGATTTTAACAAGGACAGCATAAATCCCTAGCAGTGCACAGCTCTCCCCGAGAGCTCACCAAAGACACCTGGCTCCCTTCCTTCCAGTGCAGAGGGCTCCCAAATCCCAACACCTAGGTCAGGCGGATGCTGTGGAACCACTGTCCTCGCCCTTTCAGCTCTGTGATGCGAACCCAGACAGGGAAAGGATGCCCCTCTCCACACTTACCCATCCCATGCCAGATCACCAGCGGTGTCAGCGAAGGCGGGTTCAGATGTCCCAGCGACCAGGCGGCGCAGCACCAGGGCAGAAGGCTCACAGCTAGGAGCCACCGGGAGCCGGGCGACGCCATCTTAGCCCAGTCACATGACCGAGTGCGCGCACCCAGGCTGGAGGCAAACCCAAAGCTTGCAGGGTCGCCGGTGACCACGCCCCCACCGGACGCCACTGCCTGAGAACTGACTTTATTTATGCAGTGTCTACCACCAACCAGACGCTATTGTCCAACGTCTTTCCATCTTTTAAGTGGTCTATGCACCGCTCTCGTTTTACACCCAAGGACACCCAGGTGACAGGTTTCTGCATGGAATTGAAGAGATGTCTATTCTCTAACAGCTGTCTCATTTTTGCTTTATTTTAGTTATATTTTGTGTGTGTGGGCATTGATAGGTGTGTGGCACGCATGCCATAGCGTACGTGTGGAGGTCACAGGGCAGTTTGCAGGAGTGGGTTCTCGTCTTTCACTCTGTGGGTTCCGGGAATTGAACTCAGGTCCTCAGTGTTGGAGCTTTTCCAAGAGGGGACTTTTATTTTAGCGTGTGTGTGTGTGTTCATGTGAGAAAGCAGGTTGTTATTACTGCCTTTGGAAGAAAGGCTCAGTCTTGGAACTACAGAAAGAAGACTTGATTTTCATCCACAGCTAGTTAGATCATGGTGGGTTTTGTTCTGGATTTTGAAGGAAAGACAGGATTTCAACAGGCAAAGGTGTATTAGGGAGGAGGAAGTTGTAGCTCCTGAATGGAGAAAGGTATCTTAGAGATCCAGGCAGGGCTTCTAGATTGGCATGGGCTGTCAGGTGTGTTGGCTGTAGCCAGAAGATGGGGGAAACACGGCCACTTCCTATCCAAGCTACACCCTGTTTTATAGCCAGGGGCTGTTGTCTTCTTTGCCTCCACCTCTTTTCTAGCTTCTTTCAGTCCAGCCACAGCATTTAAATTATGGGCTCAAACTTTCCCTCCCTAGAGAAACACTGACAATGTTTTAACGAACCTGTCAAGTAGGATGTATCCAAGGCACAGTGGGACTCTGACGAGGCTTTATAAAGGATGAAGAAGTCTTACAGAGAGTGACATGAAAATCTGGAAGAAAAACCGGTTGTACACCCACATGAAACCCTCTGTTCCACACTGTTGAAGCTAGTAGTTACTTTGTAGTTGAGAAGCCAATTAAATACAGGATTATAAAGCATTATGCAGTACACAGTTTGATAGGCTTTGGGCCAGCAAGATGGTTCAGCTGGATAAAACGCTGGCCACAATGCCTGGCAACCTGATCCATTGTGCCTGGGACCATGATGGCTTGAGGAAGGAAGCAAGTTGTGCAAATTGTCCTCTGACCTCTAGACACCCACAGGGACATGTTCCCCCACATACACATAAACACAAAGTAAACAAATAAAACATAATGAAAATAATGAAAAGGAAGATAGCCTTGGGGCCAGGGAGATGCTCAGTGAAGTGCTTGCTACAGAAGTGTGGGAACCTGAATCGGATCGCACATCCGCAGGTGTAGGGGTGAGCACCTGTGATCCCTGGGCTGAGGAGTGAGGAAAGGGCGTCCCTGGGGCTTGCTGACCAGACAGTCTGACCACATCACCAAGTTCCAGGGATAATGGGAAACTGTCTCAGAAATATAGTGAGAGAAACTGAGAAAGAAACCTGTTAGGTCTCTCTCATGTAGCCCAGGTTGTCCTGGAACTCTCTGTGTAGCTGTGGATGACCTTGAACTCATGCTCCTCTCGACTCTGCCTTGAAAATACTGGGATTATAGACCTGGGCCATCATATCCAGTTCACATTTTACATTATACATTTTTGTATGATTTGTATTTTTACAAGAAGGATGCATAGCAATACACTCTGTGTGTGTGTGTGTGTGTGTGTGTGTGTGTGTGTGTGTGGTGTATGTGTCTGTGCATGTGGAGGCCCAGGATGTCCTTCCTCAGGAGCCATCTATTTATTTTTTGAGCCTGGGTCTCTCACTGGCCTCAAACTTGCCAAGTAGCCTAGGCTGGCTCTTCAGAGATGCCCAGGGATCTGCCTGGCTTTGCATGCCTAGTGTTAGGATTACAGGCACTTACCACCCTGTCTGGACTTTTAACCTGTGTTCTGGGGATCAAACCCAGGCCCTTGTGCTTACAACATAAACATCTTCCTGACTTAGCTTTCAGTCAGTCCTTTTTATGAAACAGAGTGCCACAGTGTGGTCTGGCTGGACTGGAAATCACTGTGTAGACTATGCTTGGCCTTCAACTTGAGGCAGTCTTTCTGCCTCTGCCTTTCATTGCTAGAATTACAGGCATTGCTACCATACTGGCTATGGAAACATGCCTTTTAAAATCAGAATTTAATGATACATATACACACATGAAAAATCGCATGTGAAATGCTTCAGCAGCTAGAGTTGAGATTGGTTCGGTTGGCAAGCCTGCGGGCAGGTAGCACTTCCCTCCCTGGTAGTTATAACCACTCCATAACCCAAAGGCAGAAGCCTATGTGACAGGAGGAAAACAATTGCTAGTTAAGAAAATGGAATAATTTGAGAATTATTTTTAAAATCAGGTACTTAGTTTTCTAAATAGAATTTTGGTTTATTTGTGTGTGTGTGTGTGTGTGTGTGTGTGTGTGTGTGTGTGTGTGTGTGTACCTGTCTATGTGTATGTGTGTCTGTCTGTCTGTATGTCTATTTGTGTGTGTATGTGTGTATGTCTATGTATCTATCTGTCTATATGTGAACACACATACGCCATGGTGCACACATGAAGGTCAGAGAACAACTTTTGGGAGTCAATTTTCTTCTTCCACAATATGGGTCCCAGAGATGGATCTCAGGTTGCCAAGTGGTGGCAGGCACCTTTCTCCGCTGAGCCATCCTGCTGGCCCAAGTACTTAATTTTGTTTGTGTCCTCTGTTTGAGAAGTATATTCTTGGGATGGTGGTTGCTCAATAGTACAGTGCTTGGATCTGTAGCATGGGTTGGAGAGAGAGAGGGAGTGCGGGAGGGAGAGTAGGAGGGAGGGGAAGAAGGTAGTTTTGTGTGTGTGGTGGACTGAGGTTCCCACACATGCCCATGAGGTCAGTTGTTTCTGTTTCTCAGAGTTTCCTTGTATCATTTGTGTTCTTTATTTTTGAGTTTGGGGAAGACATGCTAAAATCACCTCATAATGGTAACAATGGGTTTTACTCTCTTGGGCCCATCTCATCTACTGATAGTCCCATGTTCAAATGTTTTAGACAAATAGTTAAAATTGTCTAGAGGAGATTGATGGAGTTCTTACTTCCCCCTAGATTCAGTTTTAGGAGGAAACATTAGGTTTGGGATGAGTTCAGTTCTCTCAGTTTAAGTTTCGATTTTAATAAGGAGCCTCCAGAGCCACAAAGCCTGAATGTCCATGTTAGCTTCAAAGAGTACTGAAAGCGACTAAGCTCTCTGCCAGTTCCCCAAATAATTTGTGTTGTGCAAGAAACTATGGGAACTGAGAAGCATCCACAGAAACGAAAGCGCTTTAGAGCTTAAAGATTCTAATGAGATCACTTGTTAGTATAGGGATCCAGGCCTTTGTGCATGCTAAGCAAGCACTGTGCCGGCTAAGCCACACCCCATCCTATTTCATGCTGTCTATTTCTGATGCTTGAGAACAAATCCAGGGTCTTTTCCATGCTAGGAAAGAACTGTGCCACTTAGGTGAGCCTCCAACTCCTGGTGCAATTTTAGAGCAAGAATTCCACTGAGTCAGTTTAGTGGGAAGCACCCCCTTCCCTTGATAATATCTGACCATGTGTCACAATTCCCTACCCTCAAGGTCTAAATCCTTGGGACTATCCTTGGTAAGAAACCTGTTAGTATTGAGACTTGCCCAAGAGCCTATAGGGTCACAGGAGCTTATAGGTCCTAGCAGGGGAACCCACTGCTGTTGTTTTGCAAAACAGACAGAAGTGTTGTCAAATTTTGTGTTAATGTTTATGCTCATAGGTTAGTGTTGCTCTCCACCTTGGCCAGCAGTCAGTGTAGAAATCCATGACTGGTTGAGGTGCTGAAATTAAGTGGCTATTGAGTGCTTGGCCCTAGGTGAGACATCTGCATTAACCCTCATACTGCTCTGGGGATAACTCCCGAGAGCTGAGGAAGGGGAAGAGTGCTGTGACATTTGAATATGGCATGACCATTGTACGCATGAACTCAAGTAGCTACGGTCACCTGCACAAGATGAAGCCAGTCAATAATTCCAGCATGTTTTGCAAAACAGACAGAAGTGTTGTCAAATTTTGTGTTTATGTTTATGCTCATAGGTTAGTGTTGCTCTCCTCCTTGGCCAGCAGTCAGTGTAGAAGCTCATGACACTCCACCACTAGCTGAGGACCTACTGACAACTGATGGCTGCCGGGGTGAGAGGGAGTCACTTCTTTGGGGTGTTGCTAGGTTACCCATGCTCACCCAGGCAGCGCTAATTGGACTCAATGGATTCTAGAAAAGGAAGAAAAGAATAGGAGGAGGGAGGAGAAGGAGAAGGAGTCACTCAGCCCATCGTGAAAGAAGGCGCGGTGGCACTCTTGGTGCCAAGAGCAGCTTCTGACCATGGCCATGGCAGCAGGAGTGTACAGTTCACCTTGTTACATTTTGACAGATCATGGAAGAGACAACTCAGGTTGGAAAGAGGAGGGGAAGGAGGAGGAAAATGAGGAGATGGTGGTGGTCACGAAAGTGTGAGGGGTATGTGTTCAAGATAACCGGGGAATAGGAGGGGGAAGCTGGAGGTGCATATAATGAACACACACACACACACACACACACACACACACACAGACACACATAGACACACACACGCACACACACACACAGACAGACACACATACACACACACAGACACACACACACAGACACACACATATACACATACACACACACACAGAGCCACACACACACAGACACACACAGACACACACACAGACACACATAGACACACACGCACACACACACACACACACACACACGCGCACACACACACACGCACACACATACACAGACACAGACACACATAGACACAGACACACAGACACACACATACACACACGCAGTAACACACACAGACACACACACACACAGACACAC